GGGTGCAAAATAGTAATCTTCGATCTGACAATTTGAAAAGGAGACGTGACATTAAACCGTGCCGCCTTCTTTCCTTCTTTCTCTCACCTTTCACGCGACAGTTCTACTTCCCTCTGCTCTCTAAGTCTCCATTCTTCATCCAATCGGGCACCAAAAACTTCAGAAAACACAGAAGAAACTTAAAAAATCGAAGGATTTTCGCAAAGGTTTTCGAAGAATCATTCAACGATTCACTGTTCTCGCTTCTTCGTCGAAAAACGAAGGGTTTCCAACTTCAACGAGGCTCAAAAATCGTTTTCTCACAAAATATCAAGGTAAAATCTCATTTCTTTCTTCGAAATCCATCCACAGAACAATAGAAACAGTATTTCAGTCACTCTTCATGTGAAAATTGTAGTAAACTCGCTACATTACCGAATCGTTACCATGCGTTGCTGAACTGGTGTAGAATCTGTTGTGTTTTGCTTCGTTACCATATGGTAATGTGTGGTAAGCTATGGTTTCATGTTGTAAAATAGCAAAAAACCATAAGTCCTTCTGTGTTTTAGTTCGTTACCATATGGTAATGTGTGGTAAGCTATGGTTTCATGTTGTAAAATAGCAAAAAACCATAAGTCCTTCTGTGTTTTAGTTCGTTACCATATGGTAATGTGTGGTAAGCTATGGTTTCATGTTGTAAAATAGCAAAAAACCATAAGTCTTTCTGTGTTTTAGTTTGTTACCATATGGTAATGTGTGGTAAGCTATGGTTTCATGTTGTAAAATAGCAAAAAACCACCTTCTGTGTTTTAGTTTGTTACCATATGGTAATGTGTGGTAAGCTATAGTTTCATGTTTTAAAAATGGAGGAAAACATAAGTCCTGTTGTGTTTTACTTCGTTACCATATGGTAAGATGTTATAAGACATGGTTTCATGTAATTACCATATGGTAAAATGTGATAAATATATGGTTTGATTTGGTATGGTAGGAAACCATTATGGTACCATATGGTATATTATGGTAAAAAGCATACTAACAGACTATTACTAATTTCTACATTCAGGTACACTATGGTAAAACCAAGACAAAGTTTTCGCACAAGGTGCAGCCCAACAAGAGTATCTGCAATTGCAAGGACAATAACAGATAAGCGGAAAGCGCAACTTGAGATATTAGGCCTAGCAGGCTTAATATCAATCAGGCAGACAAAGATAAACAATCATTTTGCACTGTTCGTAATGAACAAATACAATCCAATGAAAGAATCGTTCAAGCTACCTGACGGGACACGCATGAAGATATCACCAATCGACTTTCATAGAGTATATGGTCTGCCGATGGGGAATAGGGAAGTTGTACCTCCCATGATTTCTTGGGACGACGCAACAGATTATGCAATAGAAATCCTACTGGAAGTAGATGGAACATCCACTCCAAGGGTAAAGCTAAGTCAGGTAGAAAAAGATCTTCCTACAACTACAAACACTAAGAGATGGTTACAATTGTTCTTCCTGCTGGTCACCGGAGGCTTGCTGTGTCCAACTTCAGCCCCTATTGCTGAACTCAACATGCTTGAGTACTTGAAGACTGATGAACTGAAACATTTCACCAGCTACAACTGGTGCAAATACTTCTTCAAACACATGAATGAAGGATTGAAATCATCAAACCTCTACGTCAGTGCAGATCTTCACTTCCTTACCAGTAAGTCTCCATTCCCTTGGCCATTTCAACCTTGTTACTCATATATTTTACATATAAATGATAATCTTTGAAAAAACTAATACAACTATCTGCATAAAAAAGGTATACTTCATGTACAAACTGGACGAAATGGCATTCTCAACCCAGCTTCGAACACCAATAGTAAGCTACTATGATGATCTCAATGTCGAAAGCAACTTTGAGAACATTAAGAGCTACTACAATGGAAAAGAGTTGACCGAGATCGAAAAGGTTGCCAACATTAGTGACGATGAGGCTGATGATGCAACTGATGAGGAAGAGGAGAATGAGCCAGTCTATCAGTCACCGAAAAGACAAAGAAACAAAACTCTTGACCAATCATCATCATTGAACTTTGATTTGAAGAATATCAGAACAGCCAACCAAGTAAGTACAAATTATCTATATTACAGTTGTCCAATTCATGCTAACCGTAAGTCCTTCTGTGTTTTAGTTTGTTACCATATGGTAAGGTGTGGTAAGCTATGGTTTCATGTTATAAAAATGGAGGAAACCATAAGTCCTGTTGTGTTTTAGTTTGTTACCATATGGTAAGGTGTGGTAAGCTATGGTTTCATGTTATAAAAATGGAGGAAAACAGAAGTCCTATTGTGTTTTACTTCGTTACCATATGGTAAGGTGTGGTAAGCTATGGTTTCATGTTATAAAAATGGAGGAAACCATAATTCTTGTTCTGTTTTACTTTGTTACCATGTGGTAAGATATGGTTTCATGTTATAAAAATGGAGAATAGTGATAATAATTTCCAATACCATGTATTACCACCATGGTAACTAACCATACATCATACACACATTACCACCATGGTATCTTACAAAACTCCCATTATGCAGGCTGAGAATGCAATCAAACTGCTTGAAGCATCAATGAAGGCAATGATGAAAGCAATCAAAGACCAGTACAACAGCCAAATTGAGAATCTGATCAGACACAAGGAGAATCTTGAGAAAGAAAGCTGTGATGAATTTGTTCAGCCCACAGAAGGAGAAAAATCTCAGTGTGAAGATGATGAATAAGAGAATGATGAAGAAATGAATGCCACTTTGAATAAAACAATCAATGAAATATTCAAACAGGCAAAGATAGACCAGAACAAAGAGGAGAACGAGCAGCAAACACAGAAAGAAGATGATTCACAACCATCTACAGTCGATCTTGCTGCATCTACACCGAAGGAGCAAGATGATTATGCTCCAGGAGCTGTGAATAGGGAAAGCATTCAAGAAGGAGATCCACTGGGGAAAGTTGCAACAGAACCACCAGCACAATCTGTTCAAGAAGGTCTGAATCAGGGAACACCACAACAAGAGAACACCCCGAAAGTAGTTCCGGAACAGACATCTGCAAAAGAAACAGAAGAAAAAGGAGCTACAAAAACAACAGATCTAATGGATGTTGATAAGGAAACAACAGAAGAAGGGAATACAGGGCAAGCTGCACAAAAGACTGCAGAAACTGACAGCGAGAAAACGGTGTCAGATGATGTTGTTCGAGAAGAGACTCCAAAATTGACAACCAAAGCTGCTGAGAAGCCTAAAGTGACAAGGGAAAATGACATTCCATCCTTTGATCTCAGCCCTCTCAACCATCAAACACCAACAACACCAACAAAGTTGACTACCACCACGACAACCAATCAACCAGGAGAGCCTCGCAAAAGAAGAATTGTGGTGAAGAATGTGAATGTATATGAAAAGAAGGCAAGAAGAACACCACCACTAGCACAGCCACAAAACACCCAGTCACAGAAGCAGTCATATATAGCATGGTCAAATCTGTACACAAACAGCCAAGAGTAGCTCAAGGAAGTGCGTGAATGCATAGATGCTTACCTAGAGGACCTGAATACTCCAACTGTTGAAGCAGTTGCTCCACAATCACAAAGATCACCAGTTGAACTGTCAACATCAACACAAACAACACCTGATGATATGTTCAGCAACATCTTGGAGTACATAAGATGCAAAAACAAGAAATTTGTCAAGAGGTAAGTCATCATCTTAAAACTTCTACTGTTATATGATGTTACTGTAGTGATCTAGTTTGTTACCATATGGTAAAATATGGTAAGATATGGTAAAATTAGATAAATCTATGGTTTAATCATACAAAATGTAGTAATCCACAATTCCAGTTTTGTTTTTGGTTTAATACCATATGGTAAGATGTGGTAAGCTATGTTAAGATTATATAAATCTATGGTTTAATGTTACAAAATGTAGTAATGCACAAGTCTTGTTTTGTTTTGGTTTAATACCATATGGTATGATGTGGTAAGCTATGATTTGTTGTCAAAGAATGGATTAAACCATAACTCCTGTTGTGTTTTAGTTTATTACCATATGGTAAGATTTGGTAAGCTATGGTTTGTTGTGGTAACCTATTGTTTGATGTGATAAATTAAAGTAAACCATCCGTCCTGTTGTGATGTGCTTTTATACAGTGATGAGATAATGTTTAGAAGGAAGGATGGAACATTCTTGCTGAAAAGGGAATCAGTACAGTCGATTGACATTCGCTGTGAAATCACATCTGATGTCATCGACTGGTATGGAGATCTAATGAACAGGAATGAAGCAAAAAAAGGAAAATTCAAAAGATGGTTCTTCGTTGCATCTTTGGCAGTAAGTAAACCCACCCATATTCTGTCAATAGTTCTTAGACAACACATATATAAAACACATAATAACAACCACAACTTTCAGGGTGACTGCCAACTGGACATTGATAGTGGCAATCCTCTACTAACTCCAGACGATTACTACGACAAAGTGGACTTGGACATCGCCAACAAAGAATGGGCAAAAAACCTTAGCTTCACAGAATGTAACCTTGTAAGTATCTCACCACAATTTTTGCAGTGGTTACCATATGGTATATTGTGGTAAAATTAGTTTGCAGTGGTTACCATTAGGGGTGATAATCGGTTGGCGGTTTCTCAGTTAAACCGAAAACCGATCCGAACCGAGCGGTTATTCACCGAACCGAAAACCGATAAATTGTCTTCGGTGGCAGTGTCGGTGGCGCTGTTTTGGGAATTACGTTAACCAGCAACCGTCGGTGGCAATCGAGATAAAACTCGGTGCACCGAATAACCGCCCCGCTCGCTTCTTTTTCCCCTAATCGACTAATCCCCCTCCCATCCCAAGTCCCAACCCCTTCATGGCTCTCTAGAAGAAGAATCTTCGTTGCCCCTCCATCCCCAATCGCTGCCCGTCCGCCATCGAGATCCAGCTAACGAAGGCCAAGAAGGAGAAGGGGTCGCTGTAGCAATGAAGATCGATCGTCGGTCGTCGTCGCCATCCCGTCCTTCTTCATCCTCGGAGGTCGATGAGACCTGGAAAGAGTCGAAGTTGTCTCAGTCGCTGCCCCTTCCTCATCCTCCAGATCCAATGCCTGGCGGCAGTAGAAGTAGGTCGATTTGGTCGATCCTCTGTCACCGTCGGCAGGTGCAGCAAGCCGATCCTCGGTTGTCGCCGCCGTCATCGTCCCCTGCATCGCCTTGCAATTTCATTGGTCGCTGCCTTGTCTTCTTCCTCGTTGTTGCCGGCTCCCATCTATCTCGCCGGCGCCCCTCGTCGGAGCCAATTGCTAGCTCACCGTCGCCGCAAAGTGAGAGGGTAAGAGGCTAAGAGCAGCAGAGCCAGAGATGGCAATCTCAAAGATTGCATGAGATTTTGAGAAAGAGAGAGATACGAGAGTTTGATTTGGAAATTTCCAGAGAGAAAGAGAGAGACAATCCCAAAAGTTCCCCTCTTTTTATTGTAATTGTCGGGGTCGGTTTTGGTAACCGCACCGTAGTTAGCGGTTTCGGTGGCGGATAACCGCAGAGCTTCTCGGCTTTGGTGGCGGTTGGTGGAAAAGGCTCATTTTTTGTGGCGGTTAACCGACGAAACGATTCGGTTAAACCGCAACCGAACCGATTATCAGGCCTAGTTACCATATGGTATATAGTGGTAAAATTAGTTTCCAATGGTTCTTAACTTACTATTCAACACTTATATGGCAAGTGCTTACCATATGGTATACTGTGGTAAAATTATTTTGCAGTGGTTCTTCCCTTACTGTGATAACAAGCACTACATCATGATTTGTGTCAACATCAAAGCAGAGAGATTTGAAGTACTCGACAGTCTCCGCCACAAAGATTTTGAAGAATACTACAAACCAATGGCAGAGAGAGTTGTCCAGTACGCAATCAACTACATGAAGACACAGTTTGCAGACAAGACAGTAAAGTGGGAAAGGTTTACCTGGTTCAACCTCGAGAAGGTTACACAACCAGATGACAAGTCATGTGGGATGTACATCATCAGGTGGATGAGACACTGGGAAGGTAAGTACAACAGTGCCCTGACCAAAGACTGGAAGAGGATTGATATCATAAATGAAGAAAGGGAGTGCCTGATGTTGGACATCATTCTTGATGAAGACAATCTTGAACGGGATAGGATCATGAAAGAAGCAACAAAGTACTGCAACATGAAGAACAAGAGGAAGATTTGAAAGAAAGGAGATGAAAATTCTATTATGGTTTGTGTTAAGTAGTAGGAGGGTATAAGTAAGCTTTTGAGAACAAACTCACAATGTTCAGTAGCCACTTCATTCTAGTAGGTAGGATGGTATGAAACAACTTATTATGGTGTGTGTTATGACTAAGTGAAATGTTCTGTTTTTTATTATGTTAGCAAATACTTAACATGTGTTCTTAATTCCCAAATTACCACATTTTACCACATGGTATGGCAATGTAAAATCAGTTACCACACTGTACCACATGGTATGGCAATGTAAAATCAATTATCACACAGAACTTCCAAACTACCACACTATACCATATGGTATGGCATGGTAAAATCAAATTACCACACTATACCATATGGTATGGCATGGTAAAATCAAACTACCACACTATACCACATGGTATGGCATGGTAAAATCAATTATAAAACAGAACCTTCACATTTAACTTCCAAAATAGCACATTTTACCACCTGGTTTGACATGATAAAATCAAATTACCACATTATACCAAAAGAACAAAATAGCTTCAACAACTCAACCAGCTTCAACCATTCATTCAAATAATCCTCTAAGAAAACTGTTACAACTTCAACCTTAAACTTTCTTCAACAGCCTTCAAATTCTCCTCCTCAAGCCTGCTAGTTTTTCTCTTCTTCTTACTTACAGCCCTCGCAGCCTCCGCAACTGGAATTGGTCGTTTCGAAAGCTTGAATGAATCTTTTTTAGGCTTAAACCCCCTCACTTTTTGGACCGGTACATCATCTATACCAAGATAACAAAAACAAATTACAATCAATGCCAGATATATATAATCATTCTCCTCAAAAAATTGCATATATCAAAACACAAAACTCTAAACAATTAAAAACTTACTGTCACCGTTAGAAGACGTGCTTGTTCCAGCAGGTTCAGTAATCGATAGGTGATAACGATGTAAATGCACATGTTTGCGCCCCTAGTTCTTATCCGTTTGAGGAGTATAGTCGTGTGTTTTGGCCTATTTTACGCCGTTGTGCTATTTTGTCATGTTTCAGGTCCCAGGCATTAAAGGGAAGGCTAACCGCGAGTTTCAGGGCATTCGGAAGTCATTTCGGTGAGCTGGAGCCAAAACACGGGCAGACCCAAGGCATTACACGGCCGTGTACTGCTGGCCGTGCTTTTTATGCCGAGAGCAAATTCGGTTTGGCAATTTCAGTTGCAAACACGGGCACCAAAGCACGGCCGTGTTCAGTCAAAGCACGGCCGTGTACATGGCGAAGCACGGCCGTGTTTCCAACAGCTGCTGGCCGTGTAATTAAACACTGGCCGAAACACGGGCAGGCTCAGGCAAAGCACGGCCGTGCCCTCGACCGTGCTTTGGCCACTGATGCTTTTAAGCAGATTTTCAGCCACAATTCAAGGGGATTCGAGTTTTTGAGAGAGATCAGTTCCTAGAGAGAGAAAGTGACGAGCAAGAGTTCCCAAGTGCCCTAGATTGATCTTCAACACCATTGGAGGCCAGCTTGAGCTTGGAGAAGTGCCAATCAACATCCAGAAGCAGGAATCCATCCTTCGCAGTATGAATTCCGTGTCTGATTCTGCTTTTGCTTTCTCCTCCATGGAGTAGTTCTCCCATTCATCTGGGTATGAAGAACCCTAGATTTGTATGTTAGGCTTCGATTGTATGAACCCAAGTACTGATTTTGTGATTGATTATATTCGATTGAGGTTTTAATGATTGAATGACTTGAATCCTGATCAAATTCCTGTTGTTTCTGCTTTAACCTAGAATGAGAATATCTGCCTAGGTTAATAGAGTATCCTTGATTGAAGGTAGGGAGTTGGTGACTTTAGTCGAGGAGCCAACTCACTATTCTGTACCGGATTTACTCCGGTAGTGGAGGTTTTGTTCTTAGGGCCTCAATCTGTCGACTCCGGTGGAGGTTAGTCGCCCGCTAGAGAGTCAGATTGAGAGGGTCTGAAGACCTTTAGTCGAGACTTCAGGCTGTTTAAGAACCTTCCGCAGTATAACTGTCATAGAAACTGAACTTGGTAATTACAATCCGGCTTAACTGCAGTCTAGGGGGAACCATATCCGGGTGACCTCTCTTAACTTGAATACAACCAGTTTACTTGCTTTGTTAGTTTGTTAGTTAGACTTGCATTCCAGTTTCATTGCTAGTGTCGCAACCGTCCCTCCGGGGGGTCCGTATGTCATCGCGTCGGCATTTTTGGGAGTCGCCATCGATCTTACTTGGAGTGGATCGAACACTCTTAGGATCGGCTCTAACCTTAGGGTCAGAACCGAGATATGGTCTGCGAAAATGAAGTTCTGGGTTCGGGAGTACGGTTACGTGTAGGGAAGTTAAGCAACACCCCCACAACGCCCTAAATCGGTACTACTTAAGTCGATAAGTTTTATACGAGTTGGGTGTATTTTAGTAATAATTTGTAATTTTAGGGGTCCCACTGGACCATTTAATGATTTAATCATATTAGTTGTAATTTAATTATACGCCCACTGACGTAAAAATTTAAAGATAAAGTTAGTTGATTAATTGGACTCGAACCTTATCGGTTGCCTACGTACCCGTTAGACGGGATCAAAGTCCACGTAGTTCGTGAGACTTTGATAATTTTAAATAATATTATTACCACATTCCACTGATCGTGGTTCTCGTATCAAAATTTATTGTTAGTAAAATTTAGGTTGGTATTATGAAATTATAAAAAGATAATGTAATAATTTCAATTATTAAGAGGAGTTTTGATGTATTAGAAAAGAAACGAGATATACTTAATCCGCAATTCTACATTTCGTATTAAGGATTTTAAATGAATAAAACTATACGGGATTATAATATTGACGCATGAGGGCCAGCAGCCCAACTGGCTAAAACGCCAGACCAAATTCGCGTTTGACCGATGGAACAAGGGTTCGAAACGCGCTAACTACAAATTTTTTTGTTTATCTCGTTTTAGAGCAGAGAAGGGGGAAGGGCAATTTGGTAAGCTCACAAAAGGACGGTGGCACGGCCGCGTAATTAACAATAAACCCTAGGGGCATTTTAGTCAATTGGAAAAGTATATAAGCAAAAAACGAACCCTAATCACCATTTTGGCCGCCGCTCTAACCCTTGCCACTCTCTCATCTTCTTCTTCCTCTCGCTTCCTCCTCTCCACTCTAAAAAAACGAAACCCTAGCCGAATAAACCAGCCGCCTCTCTCTCACCCATAGAGAAAACCGAAACCCTAACCACCATCTATCACCGTCGCCCTCTCCTTCTTCCTTCTCTCGCTCTCTCTCTGTATTTCTGGTACCGACAAAGAAAACGAGGAAGGGGAGCCCGGGCGACGACAAAGGCGGGATTAAAGGTTCGTTTTCTTTGTTTGCATGTCGATTTGGGTTATTTGCCGGTTTCATTTTCGTTTTATGGCTTCTGATCATGGATTTCGTTTTATTTTTGGTTTTTGGTGGGGGGGAAGGGCGAACGACAGAAGATGAGGAAGGGCTCCTCTTTCGATTCAGGCAAAAAGACGACTATAGTCTTCCTAGGTCGATCGGAAATAGACGAATCCAGGTAAGATTCTCGACATGCAAAGCCTTTTTCTTTCGGTTTAGGTGATTTTATTTGGGATTTAATGCGATTCTAACCTCTTTTTGATTTCGGATTTTTGATAAGGAGGGGAAGGTTTTCGGCGGCGCGGCCTGCGTCGGGGCGACGGCGATGTTGGCTTAGGTAGGTTCTTTTTTTGCTATTCGTGTTTTTTTATTGTTGATTTGAGGTTCTGATATTTATTTATTTTTTATTTTTTATTGGGGTTTGGTCTCGGACGAGGGAGAAGAAAAAAAAGGTTGACCGAAGGAGAAGGGTATTCGCCGTCGTTGAGAAACGCCGGCGACAGGGGGAGTAGGTGAGCAGTGGTGGCTCCTTTTTAATTTCGTTTGATGCCTGCTTAATCGATTCCAATTTCTAACTGTTGATTTATTTTGGTGCAGGTGTGGAGATTTACAGATCTGGGTAAGATTTGCTAAACCTGACTTAGTAAGATTTTGGAACTTGAACAAAAAAAAAATGGGTTGAATCTGATTGAAGTTTTGGGTTTTCACTAAAAATGGTTATGTATG